TTAGTAGTCAAACACCTTTTTGACCAAAACATTTCCGTTGAACCATTTAATAGCTAACTGGTCTGAAATTAAAAACTTTGGTTTTAAATGGGTTCATGTGTTGAAACTTCCGAGCTTTTGGTCATGTTATCACCTCGTATGTTTGTCATTGCTTCCCCTTGTGTCATTAACACCAGTGTTTTTGGTGTTTGCTGTGTTTCTGGTCTGTTCCAGCTCTGTAGCTCTTAAGCGGTCAGATATGACAAAGTGATTGATTAAAATGACTTGTTGACGTGTATGTTGATAGTTTTCTCTCTGTGTTTTCACAGCGGGGGCCGACAACAAGCTGGGCTGGGCCTTCGGTCTGGGCCTGGAGAGGCTGGCCATGGTGCTGTTCGGCATCCCAGACATCCGACTGTTCTGGAGTCAGGACGAACGCTTCATCAAGCAGTTCAGAGTGCAGGACATCCACCAGCCCATCGACTTCCAGGTACCAGCACCAGAACGCAGGCCAGAACTGGGAGCCAGACGGCTTTCTATCAGTCCAGGTGGTTTGTCGAGTGATAAAAGCAGCAGAAAATTTGTTCCTTTCTGCTGTGACCTGTGTTGTCTGTGAGAGTTACTGTACGTGGAGTTGCACAAGTTCCTCCGTTTCATCAACTTTCTTGCCATTTTTAAAAACCTTGAACTGCAAACATCCAGATTTTGTTGTAGTTTGAGGGCAGCAGTCATTGGAGCAGTGTGTGTTCTACCACTGATGACAAAGTCCAGATTTTGTTATCCGTTTTTGCAGAGGATGACATTCAGAGGGAATCTGAGCCTCACTTGATGCGTCAGCGGACGAATTCGCTGAATCTCCCTGTTCTCTGCTCTCTGCTGTGGAAACACAAAACACAGTGTGCTGGAGGACCTTTACCCCGAGAAAGTTTCTGGATGTTCGCTTAATATATACAAAATCTCATATATACATTTATTTTGTTTTAAAAGGCAGTTTATTGTGCTGCCAGGTTCAGACTACGCATCAGCTCAACCTGAAAGATGAATCGTAGTTTTGCTGCATCTGATGCTGCACCTTGGTTTTTACTTTTTCTCTTCTCATGTGACGAATTCCACCAAATACCTACAAAACAAACCAACCAACCAACCACCAACCTACCAGTAGACCACCACCATCCTACCTAACAAATTTACCAAACGATTACTAATCTACCTACTTAACTAACTAACCAGCCACCTGCCAATGCCTACCCACTCAACCACTTAGATCAACTTGTCTACCTACCGAACTGACAACCTACCCATCTCCAACCAGCCAACCAACCAACAAACAAACCAATCAAACCTACCTCACTTATCTATCTACTTACCTATTCAATCAACCAACCAACCAACCACCAAACCACCTATGTAACTAGCTAACTGACTAACCAGTGCCTACCTACCCAACTAACAGCCTATTCGTCTCTGGCCAGCCAACCAACCCTGCTTATCGATTACTTATCTACTTACTCACTCAACTATCTAATCATGAACCGACCTATCTTTCAAACCAGTGAACAAACTGATCACCAAAATCAACCAAACAACCGATTACTTCTCTGCCTACTTAGTTACCTATCCAACCCACAAACCAACCCACCCACATATCTAACTATCTATCTACTTACTCCACTAAAAACCTACCTCCATACCAATCCAACCAACCAATCACCTCCAACGCCAACCAACAAAAGACCAACTGACCTACCTCCCTACCTACCAAACCAACCAATCACCAAACTACCTACCAAACAACCCACCTGTACGACTATCCAATCAAACGTCTATCTGCCCACATATTTAACTGTCTAGCCAATCAACCAGCAAGTCAACCATCTATTCCAAACAAACATCCAACTATTAACAAACTTACCTGTATATACAACCAATTAGCCACCCACCTACCTGTTTAACCAATCACCTGCCTAACTACTCATCCAAGCACCTGCCCACCTACACAACCGTCCAGCCCACTGCTCCTTGTTGTTGCCTGTGTTGCTACTTTACTTGGAGCCTTCCCCGTCCAGCCTTTCATCCTTCCCGTGTGTGTTCTGGCCTCTTAACCTCATGTATAAAACATGGCGACAGTGGGGGCTCACATCAGCCGGCACCAGTCACTTCCCCTGACCCCGCCAGCATCACGGCGCACAGCTTCAGGTTCACACAGCGGTTACTCCGTCCCTGCTAAAGGTGCTTTTTGTCAACTCTCGTCTTCACTAATGAAGAGCATTTCAAGTGACTGTTGGAGGGCACAGAGGAGAAGAAGATGGAGGGGGAAGGAAGAGAGGAGGTAGAAAATGGACCGAGAGAGGAAGCGGGGAAGGAATGGATAAATAAATGAGGACAAACAAGGTGGGACTGAAGGAAAAAGGAAAGAAAAAAGAAAGGTCAAATTACATCCAATGAACTCATAACATTAATGTTTGGATGAAGATGTGAGGAAATGGAGGGATGTCGGGGAGTCCAGACCCTGTTGTCCTGCTGCCGTCCACCTCTGTTAGTTTTATTGATGAACTCGGTTCCTCCAGTGGGACCGGGGGAGCGCGGCTCATCTCCTGCCCAGGGTCAGTGCACCTCTCCTGGGCCTAGACTCTCAACCTCTCCCTGTAAACCCTCACCGGCCCCTGGATCCACAGGTAATGAACTGTGACTGCCAGAGGCCAAACCGGAAATGGGCTTCTGGTGTGTGTCTGTGTGTTGCACACACCAGGGAGTTGTCCAGTGCCACTAACCTTATTAGTCTAAACTGCCTCCTCAGTGAACTCCTGCTCACTGTGTGGTCAGAAGTATGTGGACACTTACCCACCTTCCTTCCACGTTACAACGACTTCCATTAAAGTTAAAATAAGAATAAAAAAGTAAGACAAATATATTCTACTTGTTCCATTGTTTTGTTTTTTGTTTTTATGACAAGTTACATCAGTTAATTCAAAACAATAAAACAAACAACTAATGACATTTGTGTTTAATACCAGTCTGACCACCCACCTTCCTTTCTTCTGAATTTAAGCTAAAATAATGATACAGATGTAAAATAAACACATTATCAGTAGCTATCTAGTCAGGGTTTAGTCAAAGTTATGATAGCCTGTTAACCTTCAACAAGTCACCAACCAACAAACTAGTAAACCTCATACTAACCTGTCTGTCCAACCAAACAGCAAGTTAACCAACCAGCCAACTACCTAAACCCACACAACCAACCAGTTAAACACTTACCTACCTATCTACCCGCCCGCCCAACAGACTGATGACCGACCTACCGACCTGCCATCCAACCACCGACCATCCAACCACACATCTATACTAAACTTAATTAACATGTTTGTGTTGGTGATTAAAACCTAGTCCACTTAGGTTAGTTATAGCTGTATTAATTATACTGTTAAATTAGTTCCAACATAAATTTCGTGGAAAAAGGTGACATAGCTGCTTTAAGTAAATCCCTACCTACCTACCTACCTACCTACCCACCGACCTACCTACCTACCTACCTACCTACCTACCTACCTACCCACCTACCCACCTACCCAGCCAATCACCTAATGAACCTACCAACCAACTCATAAACCAACATCCACCCACCTACCTACTCAACCAGCTAAGATATATTTTTCTGGGGATTTTTTTTGTAGGATATTTACTGAAGGTTGGAATAAGAAAACAGTGCTGTTATATAATGTGTTTGTAGACTTTGAGATCGTTATGTCACCGTTCTTCTCTTCCTCGTCTCTTTTGTCTCAGTGATGAATATTAAAATCAGAAGATAAACATTAGAGCATTAAAAATGGAGAGAAAATACTGAAAAGAGCAGTGATGAACAAGAGGAAAAGCTTCTCTCCGTATTATAAACAAGTGACAGATGATAGAAAACTCTCTCTCAGTCTGTCGCTGCATAAAACATCAGATTTATTCTGTCGTCCTGATAAAGCTTTAATGTGTTATTGTCTTTGTGTTTTACACTTTCTCCTCTTCCTTCCTCGTCTCTCTTCGTCTCTGCTCTCCGGTTTCTCTTGCATTCCTTGTTACTCCTCAGACTTCATTTCTTCCTTTATTCTCACCATTTCTTTGATGTATAATCTTCCTTTCTCCTGGGATTTTCCCCTCCCTTCCTTTTGCTTGTTTTTTTTATCCACCTCCTCTTTCCATCTCGACATCTGATTTGTCGATAAATCCCTCAGTTCTAACATTTTTATGTCTTTGTTTAATGAGTCCAAGATGCAGCCGAACCCTATTGCACATAATCTTGGGAAAATGTTTTTTTCCTTTCCCCAAGGTACTCAAATTCATCTCTTTTTCTGATTCTTTTCTCCTCTTACATGTTGTATATTGCTGAGTTGCATGAACCGTTGCGTACCAAGATGCTTAAAGGGTGTGAAAACTCAGTAAAACCAGCCACAAACACCTCTGTATCCTGAGTGTTCGCTAAATAATGTTCAAATTCAGACAAGTACAGATCATAGATGCCCAAACATATGGGTTTATTGCAACACTGGACCTGGACACATAGAAAATCTACACTAATGTCAAACCAATCTAAATAACCTAATCTACCTACCCAACCAACCACCCATCTGCCTACCTACCAATCAACCAATCAACCAACCAATCAACCAACCAACCAACAGCTGCCTGCCTCTGTGTCTACTAAAACAACCAATCAATCAGCTGACCAATCAGCTGACCAACCACCCATCTGCCTACCTACCAATCAACCAATCAACCAATCAACCAACCAACCGACAGCTGCCTGCCTATGTGTCTACTAAAACAACCAACCAATCAGCTGACCAATCAGCTGACCAACCACCCATCTGCCAACTTACTGCCAAGTGGAGTCAAGGTTTGAGATCCCAGAAACAGCCACTAACAACGAACACTGGCTCTGAGTAAGCAACACAAAAGACTCTCTGATTTGAAGTTTTAAGATGATTTCCTGTCATTTGATTTGAAAGTATTTGTGTAAAGTTCATGACAAAGTTGAAAGAGCAAATGAGGACGGTGTCCTTAAAGACAGGGCACATCTGGACAAGTCATATGAGGCCATTAGTCACAGGGTGTCCGCAGTATGAATCATTGCTCAATCAGCCGATGGATCCTCTTTGGATAAACAGATGTTCCTTTTTTTTGGCGAGCAGATGTTTCTTGTATATCTTGTGTTTGCCAAACTGTGTCCGTTCCTGTTACCAAATATGGAACTGGGTGAGCCTCATCACGACTAAGAGGCAGAAAGGTGAAACATCTACTAGAAGTGTGTGTGTTAAGGATAATCAGTTGAGGTGTGGAGGGGAAGAGCTGCAAAACAGCATGAAAAGGCCTGACAAAGAGACATTTGTCGGCCATCGCTTCAGACGGAGGACATTCGTGGATGCCGTTCTGAGCAGAAGACTGGAGGATGCTTGCAGAACTCTTAGATGAAAATCGGAGTTCTTAGAACGTTCTCCTGTTGACTAGACGTACTTTGGAGAAGATACGACGGAGCTGTAATGTAACAGAAGAGGAGCAGCTGAACCCTTTTCTGTGTCCTGCCAGAAGAAAGACTTCTCAACTTGCTCCAATTGGATATAAATCAACTACAGTTCTGATTAGAGTCGGAGCTCCTCACCTCCCCCTGACTGGAGGATTCTGTTTGTGGATCAGGACTCTGTACTGGGTCACTGGTTCACTGGAAGAAGGTCTGGCCAAGCTCAGGTCAAGACAGAGCTGAGTTAATCATCACTGGCCGGGCTGTACGGCTCTCTCCCTCTCCAGATTACCAATTAGATTATTATTTTGTAGTTTAAGAAAAGCTCAGTTGTACAATGTTGTTTTCTAATCAGTTGGTTGAATTATATTTTGAAGTAGTTTGAGTGAATAATCATGAGCTGTTGCTTTGCCCCCACCAAAATGTTTGCAATAAAATTCTTATCCTGCATTTAAAATCTATTTGGTTTTTGTTATTACTTCACCTTCAGTATCTGATGGTGCTGAAAAGTTAGTCAATAGTGTGCACAAGATCTTTCAGTGGTTCTTAATAGTTATTCTAAGTCACAAGTAAATAGTATTTTTAAACAGATCCCTGGGGTTAGTTGTGCCAAACCTCTAAATTTTAACCTGGAAACTTACCAAGTGCTCGATCTATTAGGAGGGAAGCTGCCACTAACAGGCGTGTCTAGTCGAGTGATTTGACTACTGAGGCTACTTAGTTGAGTCAACCATTAGAAGAAGAGCAGTAGGAGTTTGGAATAAGGCAGTTAGAAGCTAGACGAGTTCCCTCGACACCAGCTTAAGCAGTTCTACAGAATCCTAGCAGGTCAAGGGCCTGAAGGCAGGTAGAACCTAACCCTGGAAACGGAGAGCTGGACCAGTAGCCCTGTCACAGGGGTTATACCAGCACAGAACAACACTACCTACCCAACCAACCAACTAACCAACCCACCAATCAACCAACCCACCCACCAACCAACCAACCACTCATCTGCCTACCTACCAAACCAATCAACCAACCAACCAACCAACCAACCAACCACTCATCTGCCTACCTACCAAACCAACCAACCAACCAATGAGCCAACAGCTGCCTGCCAATGTATACTAAGACAACCAACCAATCATCTGCCTACCTATTTAGCTACCTAAACCACCAGTCACTTGCCCGCCTACCTATCCAACCAACCAATCAATCTTTACCTACCGACCTACTGACCCAATCAACCAACCATTTGTCTATCTACCTAACTACCAAACCAATCAGTTACTCAAACAACCAGCCAATGATCTGACTACCTACTTAGCTGCCCACCCAACCAACCAGGTTAGCTATCCACCAAGCACACTGCCAATAATCCTATGACCGATCAACTCAACCAATCGATCATTTTCATGCCTGAATACTCAACCACTGAGCCAGTCATCTGTTTACCGACTCAGCTTTACCACGTTAGAATCAGACACAAAGAACAACTATGAATGCTTTAAGTAGGATAAATATTATGTTTCACGTGTTCCTGCATCATAACTAATATGATATTTATCAGAAGTAGAACTCAGGCAAGAGGATCACGACAAATGTGCTCTGGTGTTTTGAACATTGGTACCACAAGTCGTAACAGATCGGGTTAGTTTGGTGGAGAATAAAGTCGTCTTCATGTTGGATCCTCATTCAAACAGACACTAGAAGAAGATTTCAGCCGTTAGTTGTGTCTGTACTTTTACTCCGTGTGACCAGATTTGTTGTGTTTAAGCTGCCAGCTGAGCGGTTTCTCGTTGTGTTTGTTTCCTCAGCCGCTCAGTAAATACCCGCCGCTCCACAACGACATCTCCTTCTGGCTGCCGGACGGCGCCGGCGAAGGCGAGGGCTTCGTCGACAACGACTTCTACGAGCTGGTCCGGTCCATCGGAGGAGATCTGGTGGAGAAAGTGACGCTCGTGGACGAGTTCACCCACCCAAAGTAGGAAAACACAAACACTGAGGAACGCTCTGATCGACACTGGTTCTGCTCAGTGGTGTCACAAACAAAAGTGTTTCCAGCAGATCAACACCATAAATTTGCTCCAAAAGACGTCAGATTTTTAGTTCACGACCCTTGAAAATAGAAAAAAGTGCAAAATGTTCGATTGACATTGGTATTAAGGCCCCAGAGTTCCTGTTTATATATGGATGCATCCTTATTTCCTCCTAAACATACAGTCTTTAGTCGGCATTTCATAAACTTGAGAGGCTCTTACATCAGTAGAATTTAACATGTGGCAAGAATAGCAAGACAAGCTTCCAGTTTTTGCTATTTTGACATTTCAAAAATCCCAGTATGAGTCCATCTGGACAAGTTCTGTGTCATTTTTGACCAATTTTGAGTCTCTTTGATCCACGTTTGTTTCATTTGGGGTAGTTTTTGAGTTGTTCAGGACAAACTTTGAGTGATCTTGGTCGAGTTTTGACCCTTAAGAATGGACGAAGTGCAAAAGGCTGGTATTCCTGTACGCATATGTGCATGTATCCATGTTTCCAACTGAAAACACAGTCTTTGGTCGACTTTTCACCACCTCATGGCGAGACTAGAGTCCAGTTTCTGTTCCTCTGACATGTCAAAATGCCAACATGAGTCTATTTGGACACATTTTAGACCCATTTTCACCAATTCTGAGAAGTTTTTGACCAATTTTGAAGATGTTTGGACAAATTTTGATTCATTTCGAACAATCTTTGTGTTGTTTTTGTCACGTTGTTTTAGACACAGACAATCACGGGTGGTATCGTGGCCCCAGAAACTTCCTGTTTCTGATTATATATAGATGCAGCCATATTTCCTACTAAAATACAGTCTTTTGTGAACTTCTGACCAACCTTTGAGGGTCTAACATCAGCAGAGTTTGATATGGGGGTCAGAGGATAACGAGACAACTATTTTGAACTATATTGATAAAACGGTGATGTGGAGCCCAAGACATGATGTTCAGAAGGATCAAATCTAAGCTTCAAACGGTGATATTTAATCCATAGCCCTTCATTCTACGTGTCTCGTATAAACAGAATACACCAGAATAACCAGTTTGCTTGAACCAAATTAAAAATAATCAAATATCTCTAGTAGGCAGAGCCACCATTACTGTACCTGTGGGCTCTTGGGAAAATGTTCTACTTGTTGATTCAGGATATTTAAAACTTTCGGAAATTAAACAATCAAAAAAAACGATTTTCAACCTTTCAACTGTCCTCCTTTGTTGGGATTTAGGGAATCATATCTGACACCGCTTATTATCAGAACTATGAACTTGAAAATGTTTTCAACTTTCCGAGGATCTTTGAATCACCGTTGGCGAGTCTGAGCTGCACCGTCCGATATGTACAGGAAACGATGGAGAGCGACGCACAGCTGTCCTTGGCGGAACACCTCCAGTCCTGCAGAGCTGCTGTTGACGTCTCATTTTTTAGCGAACGCGAGTGTGTGTGTGTGTGTGTGTGTGTGTGTGTGTGTGTGTGTGTGTGTGTGTGTGTGTGGAGATAAAGGGCAGCAGTGGGAGGTTGCTACCTTATGGCTGAAAACTCCTTTTTCACATCACCACACACACACACACACTCGTCCGACCTTGCATCAGTGTGTGTGTGTGTGTGTGTGTGTGTGTGTGTGTGTGTGTGTGTGTGTGTGCAGCCCTGCAGTGCGTAAAAATGTCCGACACTATTCATCTTTCAACATTTTAATCTCTTTTAAATGGCGACCTTTCCCCCCGCCGAGCACACACACACACACACACACACACACACACACACACCTCCAACGACGCATTAACACACACCGACTCGTGGTTTGCAGCTAATGGGCAGCGAGAGACTCCCGGGCGAAGACGCTGCAGCTGAAGTCGGTGAAGTCGGACGACGACGACGCGATCCTGCACACGCCTGACCTTTGCCGGAATAATCAGATTAAACACAATTAAAACAAATGATCCCCAACACGCGACGATGCTCGAGTTCTAGCGACGCTTTCAGGCTGCAAACGTGGCCTCGTGTCGGTGGAACCGAGGGCTCTGCTGTACGTCTTCCTTAGATTTTTAGTCTGGATTTAGAATCAACCCCAAAACCAGCCAGCGGGTTTAAAAAGGCGAATCGTATTTAAAAGTAACAATTAAAAAAATCACCTAAATCACACAGTATGTCAGAACAAGAAGCCGTGAAAACAGAAAAAATCCTCTGATTTCTACATTTCCGGCAGCGACTGAACCGCTCGTCTGTCAGGAGCGGTTCTGTCGGGAAAATTATGAAAGCTTGGAGTTACGTCAAAATCATTTTATGTGTCATTCAAAAAATTGCTAAAAATAAACGGTTTGAAATAAACAGATTCTGTTAAAAAGAAAAAATTCTGGGCGCCTCATCGCAGCTGACAAGGAATCAGTGACTCGGCTGCAACTAACGGTGACTCTGCAAAAATTCACGGAGTTTTCAATTGCTTGGGCTGCAGGCGGCGTTTTCACAGAGCAGGAAGTATGAAAACTAGTTTGATATCTACCGATGGGCCGACGTCACGCTGGTTCCAGGTTCTTCTGTGTCAACTTCATACAAGAAATAATCAAAAAAATTAGAATTTGTCATTTTAATTGAGCAACTGGTGTGTCTGCTTTGGTTTGTGGGTTTTTTTAATCGGTTTAAACATCTTTCGGGTCATTTTGTTCATCTTTTGCGATTGGTTCTGTATTTCTGGGGTCGGTTTGAATATTTTTTGGGTCTTTTTGTGCCTTTAATGGTGCTTTTGTGCGTTTTTGTTGGCATTTCCTGTCAGTGGGTGTTTGAGTCATTTCATGCTGCTGTTGGCGTTTTATGAAAGTAACACCACAGACCAAGCGGTCGACCCAGAACCTGCATCGGGGACGGTTCCTCGTTCTGTTAGTGGCAGCAGGGCGGAGTGAGGGTGTTCACGGTAGAGATGTCGGCGGGTTAAATGGGTTTTTAATCGTTTCTGGACAAACAAAATGCAGCTAACACCTGAATATCCGACACGCTCACGTAAAAACAGAAGCGTGCTTTGCAGGGACAGCTTGTGTTCGGGCCGAGCAGGAGGAAGGGAAAGTGTGTCGACTCGGAGCCGAAGGGAGACGAGGGAAAAGGTGCATTGCAGGTATTTTATGCGCCACTAATCTAAGAAGTGATAACTATAATTAACCGTCGCTCTCGTTAAGCTGCGATTCCGGCGATGAGAGCGACGTGGAGGCGAGTCGGTTTGGGGGGAAGGCGGCAGCATGCGGGAGACGGAGGGGAGGTTTGAGGACGGAGAGAAAAGGTGCAATGCAGGTGCTGTGTGCAGCATCAGAGCCACCGAGGCCAAAAGTATGTGGACGCCGGCGTGAAGCCGACCAACGTTTGATTCTGTGGAACCGTCTGTCAGCGAGAAACAGAAGAATCAGAATCATCAGATTTCCAACGTTTCTGAACTGATCAAGTTTAAAAACCAGATTCTGTAAAAAACTAAAACTTCTTCACTCCTCGATGCAATCAGCTGATAACCAGAGACCAGCAGCCACTTTAGGTTGAACTGCAGGAAGTGTTTCCTCAGAGAGACGGAGAAGAAATAAAACCTACTGGGTCAGTAAAGAAACGCAGCACGGATCAGAACCAGAGACCAGAGGAGCCAGTTGGTGGAGATACATTCATCTGATGGT